GTGGCTTATTATCCTTTTTGTCGACCATTTTCTTCTTTATTGTATAAACAACAGCTCCTACAACCAGAGCCAATATTACTAACACCAGAAACCACCCCAGAAATCCCCTGGACCTTGATTTTTCCCCCATTCTTTTGTCACTTCAAAGGAACACAGTCTTGAACTTGAGATCTAGATCAAAGCATACGCATTGGACATCAGATATGCTAAAGAGAAATGCAGGGGAAAAGAATCTGATGCAGAGCAGAAAGGGTCTGAAACTACTGTGAGGTAATGTGGTTTACAAAACAGGGTCAGTTTGTTAAAGAGAAAGTTAACGAAAGGATCTGTTGCTGTCTCTGCCACATATCTGCTCATAAATTTGTTTAATTGGTGAGTTCTTGCCGGACAAGAACACCGGCACTGGAGTTTCCAAGCGAATATGATAATATAATTATTAGTAAAATTCTGGTCTGAGTCCCTCTACTATACTAGAAATTTGATCTCACAAGTCAGAGTTAGATGTGAACTGAAGGGTATAACAACACAATTCCATAGTTAACATGATTTAGTATTTTAGTTTACCTATTTTATAATACTATTAATTCAAATTTCTAATTCCCTTTGCTACTTCTATTAAATTGTTTCGAAAACATTTTAATAAAATAATTTGATCTAATAACAATTTTACATGCCATTTGAACGATTACAAATATTTTAAAATATAAATAATATTATTAAAAATAACAGTTAATAGTTTGGACTAATTGATTACATTTAAATATAAAAGATCAAATTTCATCAGAAAGAATAAATAAATAAATAATCCAATTATGTCAAATTAGAAGGATTACATATTAAATTTTCATACAATAAAAGGACGGAAATCAAAGTTGACCTAAATTATATATTTTTTTCTGAAAGTCCTAAATTATATTATATGTTATGCCTTTCTGTTTAGGTGTTATACTCTTGATGTTTCATTGACGGATATGCCCCGTTATTTTGGTCGAGCGAGATTCCCGCTAAAATCTCATTTTCGGTCCTCCAAAGTTGAATTATGCTTGACACGTGGAGGATTCATTCTCAGCCATCGACCAATTACCCCCTATCATAAAATTTTTAATAAAATATTAAATTAAATCTGTAATATTAGATATAGTACAGGGAGTAATAACACAATTTAACCTTAGTTAAACTTCTAAGAGCTAGTGTTCTGTCATCTTCTGTGCCTAGAGGAAGGATCTATTAGGCCGGAGATCCTTCCCGTCACTATTGTCGTTATCTTTACAAAATAAATAAGTAAATCGGAACAAATACATACTTGTCTTGGGATTCTTTGTTATTTCAAAATGATTAAGTCCTGAATGATTCGGAGACTCTATATGAATTAGTTCTGAATGTGACATGTTGTTTGATAATTGATCTAAATCATTCATAATATACTTATGTGTTGAATCATTCAACATTGTTTTGTTGAATTAGTCAGTATTGAATCAGTCAGCACTAAATCATTCAGAGGTGCGAAACAAACGCGCTGAATACTAAACGGTTCAACATTAAACGCTGAATGATTCTATTAAAAGACAAACAAACAACCCATAATTCAATGCACATTCATACTTGTATCAAGAAATTAATTTATATAACTAAAATTTATTATATTATATTTTTATGAGGTTATGATTTATTTTATATAATTCCGATGCATTCATATGTATACATATTGTATTTATATTATTATTAAATTTCTAATCATGATTTACTTCGACACACAAATTCATATAATACAATTATAATTGTCATAAATTAGTGCAAACGTCATTGTAAACTCTTAAAAGCTGCAAGAAATGAATTTAATTGCTACAACCATACATTAATGTAGATATTATGTTCAATAAATAATTTAACCCAATCCACCGCCTAATTATAATAAAGCAGCAGCGTGGTTTAATGCCAGACGAAAGCAGTAGTTGCACAATTGACAACAAGGACCCGTGATATTAAGTTATTTAAACCAATAAAGCAACAATTCAACAGCTGAAATCAAAACTAAAAGACAACAAATTTACATCAATGTTAATAACACATTATTCAGTACCATTGTATGCCTACTAACCTGGAAGAACAAGAACTAATACCATTATTTTATTGGGCTGCAGATCGGGTTTTCCTTAATCTACTGCGCGTGAGTGTAACGCTTTCTTCCATGAGAGTCTCTTTTGGAGGAGGCTTCGCGCCTTCATCCTCCGGAGAAGGTGGCTTGATTCAGTTCGCTTTGCTTCTTTTTCAGTTTCCGCAGCAGGTTGGCTGGTTGATTCGGATGCAGTATCTACTTTCTGGCTATTTAAGGATGCTGAACGGGTAGGTGGTTTAGCCAACTGGGAAGGAACCTTAGACGGTCCCACATCTTCAGTTACTTCCTTTTTGTGTTGACTTGAAGATGTGCTAGATGTCGGTGATGCCGGTTGTTTAGCCCCAGATTGTGCTGATTGTGCTTTACTAGATGCTTGACGTTTAGGCACACTAGAGGGTTCGCAAGCCTTGGTACCTTGTGCCTGAGAATTAAGAAGTCACGTAGAACAGAATATAAACTTCAAGATGATTGAATCAGTACAAAAATGGATTTTGGCATAGATTAATTACTTTTCAACTAATATACATCCATTACATCTGTATAGTCAGTTTAATGCGTGATGATGAGAGGTTTAACCGAACTAAGTTTGTTGTTTGCAATGCAGCACCAAATACAATTGGTTTTAATTCGATAAATACTTGAGGATGTTGAGGTTTTGGGGTTGACTGTGATACATATTGCAGAATCTCAAAAACTCTAGTCTGGCCATAGCTTGCAGCCCTTTGCCAGTAAAGAACTGTCATATCTCCAGCTCTAGTTCTTAGTTCCAACATGTTACGGTCAATTTCATTTTCATGTTTAGCAACATATGGTCTAAAGAAAGAGTCATACACATAAGAAGTTCCCTAACATAAACGAAAACAGAGAGCCAGTTAAAAACAAGCATCAAGACGTAGATGGCGGTGTAAATATTATTAGAATTTCTTTAAAAGATAGTACACCTACCCTAGTTTTAGGGTACCACAGATATATACGGAATGCCAACTTACCTTCACTGTACATTTGAACCCTTCAAAATGCAAAGCAGGAACACGGTGAGAAAACAAAAAACAGACATTAACACAGCCTTCTCGTTTTATTATCCCTTACCATGAAATGAAAGTATCACCAATTCGCTCACAAACTGTTAAAACAGCCACCAATATCCTGAAACCAAGAAAAAGATTGGGAAGACGGAACAAAAGAAATGTTACACCATAAATAACATTTGCACAATCTTCACAAACAACCGTAGCACTGTAAGACCTACCAGTACTGGCACCAAAACCGCAGTTGATCGATCTCAGGCTTATTCAATTCAACAGTTTATAACATTCATATGCTGGATAAGCATAACCAAAAACCATCCTGTCAAAATATTTAAAAGCAAAAAAGTGATTCAATTCAAGTAAAAGAATAAATTAAAACTAAAATGAGAAAGAGAATCAGTTGTAAGATGAGACATACACAAGTCCTCTGGTAAGAAGGGATCCAATCATTTTGTTTATTTCCTGACAAAAGAAAACACTTCTCGAAGTTAAAAAGTCGGTAACAAAATCAGTGTTATAAATTCCAGAAAACATGAACAGTCCATGGGATTTAGTCAATTAAGCAAGTACTGCACAAGTCTCTACCATAAGCTTGCATAACACAAAACCAAAAACGATAACTGATAATTGTTGCCTAAGTTTATTCTCTTTCTCTTTAATTCTTTCTTTAATGAATTCCCAAATAGGAGGAATTCTTCCAGTTCTCACAACCAAAATATGCTATAAATACCAGTCAAACAAGACATAATCAAAGTTAAAACTTGAAAATATCTTGGCCCCCATAAACCGAAGGGGTAAAAAAATATACTAAAAGGATCTAAAATCTTAATTATGAGCTAATGGTTCGAGATCCTCTTAATCACTTGAGGAAATACTCTAAAAAACTTAGTTGAGCGAGAATTGTCAGGTAGGCCTCTAAATGAACTGAACGTTCAGCAAACCGTTCATGAACTGTGCGGCGGGAAGTTCGTTTATTTATTAAATGAACGAACATGAACAAGATTTTAATTTATATAATATGTTTTTTATTCTTAAGGTCCAAGTTCTTTACGAAATAAAATGAATTTCTTAACAATCACTAGTTTTCAACCCATCAACTAATTAGTTCAAATCAAATTTTGTAAACATATATTATTAAAACAATCGTCTCGGCTTAGTTTGTTCTATTCATAATACTACATTCAAACCTTAAATTGTATTTAAAGAACCTAATATCTAATCGCACTTGGAATACCAATCTTGTTTAAGTATTAATAAAATGACATAATTGTTCTAATAAACGAGATACTTATAATATATATAGGCAATCTTTACTAGTGAATCAAGTATGGGATTTAGAATATTATTATGGGTACATGTTTTAAAAGATGAAAAATAATGATACTAGCTAATGCTTTGGACGTGTATCACGAAAAGGTCAGGGATATGTATATCCATTCCTCTTAAAGCCTGGCATGTTTCGAGTAAGTTGTAAGCAACCAAAAATGGAGGGGAAAAGAGCAAAAATGTAATAACAGAAAAAAATAAGACCCCACGGGTTGGGCATTGGGCAAAAGATGAGAAAATATGAAGGAAAAAGGGAAGGCATGTGAGGTAAGGATTTTCCCAAAGCCTTGGATTCCACTTTTCTCAACTGCTGCATTAACTTAATCAATGCATGTTCTGAACCTAAACCGAAACAAGCCCTACATCTTAAGAGTTGCTCATTTTTTCAGTGCTGATGCTAAAATCATCGATATTTGCTTCATGAGTCAACATTGTTTTAGCGTTGACTAGAACACCAATAGCAGCACACGAGTATTCACCATGATGGGTTGACGTCCTAAAAAAAAGAGAATAACAGCAAGACTGTACTATAATCCAACCAATGCCAAAGCATGATTCCACTATTCGCAAAAATAAATGTACACATGCATGCCTGTGCGCATTGATAGCCCCATAACTAAAACATCTCATCTATCAATATGCACTATGTAGCCAATGTATGAACAAACTACCTACCTAAGACTAAACAATTGCAGTAAAGATCTTTACACTTTCAAAATAGCCAAAAGATTCAGCCCATATCCTGGACGGATGTCGTTGGAGGTTTTTTGCACTTCCCTCTCAACCATGTTAGCCTTATCTTGCTGCTTTTTAAAGAAATAAGCGTTCCCCTTAAGTTGGGGTATTCAAAGAGGTCAAGAGCTGCAAAATAGAGCCACTCTTCAATGTCTTCTATTTCATCCAATGCTTTAATGCAATTAGTTATGCTAAACTTGTTTTCACTTGGTTTCATGACAAATGTCCGCCTTGACTTCCAAGCAGCAACCATATCTAGCATGGCTCCTGCCATAGCCTCTGACATTGCTTCCCCCTTTATGCTCTGATCCAAAGAAGGTTGTGCCTCAGATGGTCTTTTCTTTTTCTCTCCGCAATACTCCATCTGGACTAATCTTGACGTTGATGGATTATCAGTATGTGTGGATCCTCCATCTGGACATGAAGTTAAGCTACTGGTATCATTTCCAGCAACTTTGTCCAGCCCCTCAAAGTGGCTTGATTGGGCATATTTCCCATCAGCAGACGAGTCCGTGAATATTGTGCAAAGTTGGTCATATATGGGACAGTCCTTGGTTTTGACTGGCTCGGGTCTAGGCTGTGTCTGTAAGCGTAAAACTATATATCAGAAACAGACAATTGACGTGTAAGAACACAGAAAGTTGAACGGAAACGTACACTGATTTCTTCCCACGGGTCAAACCCAATGCAACAAGAGTCCTCCATGGAAGCAAAGTCATTTTGATCATACGCTGATTTGATGTTATAGAAGTGTGTCCGTAGAACATCCAGGTGCTTCCTCAACTGATTGTTATTGAAGTTGAGATCGGTTTGCTTGTTGAACTCATCACGAATGGTATTCCATATTTTCTTGTCAAAAACATTGTTTGGTCTGTTTCCTAATTGAATTTGCTTCACTACCAAGTCCGCAAATATCCTATCAAGGGATGCCGTCCACCTTGTTCTTGACCGCTTCTGTTTTGGCTGACTGACATCAGTATCCATCTAGGCATCTATAACTACAACGTACGCACAATCAGATCGAACAATACTTCAATCAGCACTGCATGAAAAGTTACAAACTACCATAATGATAAAACCATAAAACTTCAATGAATGGCCAGAACATTCCAGAAACAGTCTCAAAACGTACCGAATCAGATTGATAAACAAAATAATGGTTAAGCAAAGGATTAATCATATATCAATATTTGACCAACAAACAATATACTTTATCCTATATGTATAAACACTTGTAAGATTTATTAATACACCAAGTTAATCCGTGATTTTCAGCTAATGTCGCCCTACAAATGCGAATTTCAATACAAATTGGTAAACGTATAAATCTTCAACTAATGCCACCATTCTTCTACAACTTGAATTTCAATACTTGAAATTAACTTGAACTAGAATCACCATTTGTAAAATTAAATTAAATTTTGAGTACCAATTCAACCAAAAACACGCATTATACGTCTTTAGGGTTTGAGAATGAAGCAAATGCTTCGAGCACAACCCCCTAAATTTGATTTTGTGAGAATCTGTACGGATAGTAATAATGGAATCGTAAAGAAAAGCAATGGCCATATGAAAACTGTGGTGTCTTACCTGACTCGGTAATCTTCACGGAATCAAGAGAATAATCAAATTCGGTAAGCAAAATTGTGAATGAAAGCGATTGTTAGCACCGTTTTTGTCCGGGTTTTAATAATTATTATTATTATAATTACATTTTATAGGTTCAAACCCGAAGCCCAACAAACCCAAAGCATAACCTAACCCACCCGGTTTCAGCCCAATAATGGAACCCAATGGCAGACCCGACAAGAGCCCAATTTCATGGCCCAAACAGTTGACCAAGAACCCGATTAGGGTTCTATCTCAAGCCATGCGTCGTAGTCCCCTCAGCCACACGATCTGAACCCATATAATGGTCTAAATTAGTGACATTTAGGGTTTCTAAACCCCTAATCCTAAAGAGATATTATCGCCGCCACTGTTTGTTGATGCTGCCATCGACCGTCTCTGACACTGCCATTTCAACCTACAGTGACAAGATATCAACATCAATAGTGAAAAAATGGAAAATTAATAAATAAAAAAAAAGAGAAACAAATCTAAAAGAAATCCCAATGAGAATTGGGGTCCTGACACAAGCAAAATAGGACACTCATGCCCTATCTTCTCGGTAGCAACAAGCATCAAATCCATCAACATGCAAGCCACCAGATTAAAAACGAAAATCATTGGAGGCAACCAGATTCAACAACAAAGGGAGGGGGATTTGGGGAGAGAAAGAAAAAAAAGTGAAGAAAGAGAGAGAGAAAAAAAGAGATTTAAATAGAAAAAAAAGAGCAACCTACACACAGAGAAAAATCCGAGAGCAACCAAAGGAATAGGAAAAGAATAACAAAGAGAGAAACATACCTTAGTTCGAAGCGTTGGAAGCTCTAGAGTCGTCGATTTTCAAGCTTTCGAAAGGTAAAACATTAGATCTGGAGTCTATGTTATTTTTTAGGCAAAAAGGGGTTAAGATTCGAGTTAAAAGAGACTTAGGGAGCATTTTAGAGGTGTTTTACTCCCTCCGGACGCTGTAGACGGCTGTGATTTGCTGGCGGTGAGCGGTTGTTGCCCTTCCCCGACGAGGAAGTTGAGAGAGTTTGTAAACTCTCTCTTTCCTCTTCCAAAGTGAAACAAAACAAATGAAAAGGGGTGGTTAGTTTTAGCTTGGTTTGTATTATATATATTAAACGTGAAACGACGTCGTTCTGGGGGTTCATCATGTTTTTAGCGCAAAAGTCTAATAGCATTTTAGGTCCTTCTCCGTTTGTAATATTTTGTTTTAGTCATTAATGAAATTTTGTGATATTTTACTTTGGGCATTTATTTTTCAATATTTGTGTTCAAGTTACAATCTTATGTATGATGACAATTTCATTGGCGTTTAACTCTAGCTATAATATTTACGGTTCTTTTATTTTGGTCATTGTTTTGGTATGAGTGCCTTTGGCTAGAATCATTGATTATCCTTCTAAATTTATGGTTCATTTTATTTTAGTCCCGAATATTGTTTATGGTTTATTTATGTTTCTAGTACCTTTATTGGTTAACATCTTCAATAGTTACCTTGATTATTTGGTGTTTTACTGTTTGGTCTTTCAAATCAACGTTAATATCATTTTGGTCCTTTGAATCACCAAATGCTTGGTTTCCTTTGTTTATATTCTGGTTTGTAATATTCCTTTGTTTTTATTTTAGTCCTTTATGTGTGTGTGTATATATATATATATAAACATTTGAACATGTGTGTAGCGTTACTTTGTATATTATGATTTTATATGTTCTACGTGGAATAAATGTCTTTAGCCATATTTGCATTAGATTTCTTTTATTATATATATATATATATTATGAGTATGCATAAATTATCTTATTTATTCTTTTTTAATTCATATTTAAATTTATTCTTATTTTATATTCTTTTATTTATTGATACTTTGCTCGAATATTTTCAAGAACACCAATTTGTAGAATGAGCTTGGAAAGCATTGTTTGATCGAAGTAGTGCTATCCGATATGACGTTCGAACGAAATGTGAACTTGAAATGAATATAGTTTATTTTGTTAATTAATTCATTTTTTTTATTTTAAGTCAAATAATACAATGCATGTTTCTCTAAATGACAATTTAGTTTATTTTATGTAAATATCGATGTTCAATTTATTTTCGATTTACGTTTTTTCAAGGAGAGAATATTCTTGTTAGGAAAGAAATAGAAGAGGCAGTCTTCTAGTCGGAGGATGAGCAAATCTTGATATTTCTTTTCGAATTAAAGGATGTTTCATAATAAATAATTCGAAATAAATTAATCAATGTTCAATATATGGATCATAATTTAATTTTCTATTCGAATTTTAATTTCTACCATTACGATAACGTGTAAGTGACTAGGTATTAATTTTGGACGTTGTGAGGTGCTTATCCTTCTTCACGCATAATCGAATCTTAAACCCGTTAAGTCGAGTTTTTGGTAAACGCATATTAATTTTTTGTCTTAAAAATGATTTTTTCTTACAATTGTTTTAAAAGACGTTTTTAGGCATTCGACCTACCTAGTCCAAAGGTCAATGGTGACTATTATTCAATTAATTTAAATTAATTCAAAATCTCCAAATTTTCAAATATAGTCATAATTATTTTTTAAACTTAATTGTTTTTAAAAAAAATTGTTATGACACCCTACAACAAAGGAGGAAGAGAAAATTGAAAGAAAGACGATTCAACATTGTTTCTGGTATCTTATTGGTCTCTTCCAAAAGCTTTATGGATATTTTCTTGGGCTCATATGCCCATTTCTGCTTTTCTTTTTCACTTGGGCTTCTGAAATTTCTCGTTCTGCTTGAATAAAATTTTATGCTGTTATTACTTTTAAATGTCACTATAATTTTGTAGTTAAATCTTTATTTATTATTATTTTTAATTAAATTTAGGAGTATATTTGGATAATAAACGCTCCTCTCTCTTTTTGTTTTGGTTACAAAGGTAGAAAACTCTTAGCAGTTATCGATGGTCCTTTGAGAGGTTTGCTTGTCAACTTGAAGAGATTTCAGAATAGAATCCGGTGGACTTTGCCATTCTGAGAGCCCTCTTCTCGTTTCTCTTCCTGGCCATAGTGAGCCAGAGCATCGGTTGTGCCATTAGCTTCCCGGAGATGAGGGCAAACGCGACCAACCAGCTTTGATCTAGTAGCTTTAGAATCTTCCGTACGATTGTTGGTTTGTTACTTTGACTAGGTATGGTGACCAGATTGATTGCAGCAGCGCTATCCATTTCCACCAACACACGTCGAGCACCATGATTCCAAGCAATCTGGAGGCCGTCCAACAGTCCCAAAAGTTCAGCATTGAGAACTGGACAGCGGCCAATATATCGATTATATCCCGTAATCCAATCTCCATTATTGTTCTGGATGAGACCACCACTCGCAGCCTCCATGGAGGTTTGCTTCACCGAGCCATCCGTATTCAGCTTAAGCATTCCTACATCTGGCGGTTTCCACACCTGGTTTACTTTCCTTCCACTTGAAGTCTGGATACTGTTCCTCGATTTGGCAGCAATGGATTGTGCCCAGGCACGAGCACTTTGATCACTTCTTCCGAGGATCCGCTCACGCCATTGAAGATAATATCGCAACATTGCTTCCAGATTTTCCAAATTATGCTCCTAAACATGTGCTTCCAGATTTGTATGACCCACCATCGGTACCTGCATCGTTATTCAAGTTATAAACCAACCAATCACAGAGGGAGAGGGAGAAGAAACTCCATGTTCTTTGGTTTGGCAGAATGCGAGTCTAGATGGCTTTAGCGATTTTCAGTCCCTGAGGATATGAAGTATTGACTCTTCACTGTCACCACAAGCCGGACAGCTAGGGTCCGACGAGATGCCATGCCTGGTTCTCTCCATGTTGGTTAAAAAATAAAATTAAAAACATAAAAATTGAACATGAATTTGTCTTTCCATTATTAAGATAAAAAATGAGAAGAAAAATATATTTTATATATAATGTTGTAAAATCCACAATGAACTTTAACTCTTTTTATTTTCAAACACAATAAACAATTATTTCTTCTACTTTTTACCCTCATGTCTTTTTTGTTGACAAAAAAACCAAATTAATTTTTGTTTCTCAATTTAAAGATCATATAAAATACAAAATAAGTTCATGAATTACATTAGTTGTTTCACAAAAAGATTGAAAGCCTCATAGACCATTTGTCTCTTTTATTTAATATATTTAAAAAAATTAAATCTTTTTATTTTCTATATTTAATTAGCATAATTATTTGTATATATAATCTGCAATAGTAAAATAATTTTATATTTATAATTATACTAATTTGCACAAGTTTTGCTTTATTTTTATGTTTATATCTTTTAATAATTTTAATCTACACCAATATAATTTAAAATTTAATAATTAAATATCAATTATAGGAAATTGTACTTAATTTTGCATTATAATTATACAAGTTGTACGGATAATTGAATACTGAAATCTTAGAAAGATACACCGCAATCTTGGAGATGGAAACTATGACGTGGAAAGGCGGCCAAGCTAATAAGCAATGTGTTAATGTTTGGAAACTTGACTATCTTCACACAAAACAAAGACGAGACAGCTCATTTCATTTCTTTGCCAAATTTTGGGAAATTTCCTCGAACCTAAACCTACTCTGCCTGTCTCAACTCAATTTCCAGGTTGATTCTTGTCCAAGACCTAACTTTTTTTTAAAGGATAAAATATATAAATAATCCTGTGATTATATGACATTCTCTATTATAATAAATGATAAAAGGATCATCCAACTCTAAAAATTAATAAATTTATTATTTTCGTTAAAAAAGACAAAAGATGAAATGTCAATTAATAACTTCAACATAATAATAATTTTAGTTCATGATATTTACATGTTATTATAATTTGATCTTAATTTAAAAAAAATAATTTTTAAAATTTAAATATTATTTCAATTTACAATTTTTAATAGTTTAAATACATTTATTTATGATATTTAAAATAATATATATATTTTTGAATTTTTATTATTTTTAAAAGTATATATACTTTTTGAATTTTTATGCAAAACAAAACAAATATATTGATGCTCACATTGACAAAAAAATACGTGTGGACGTTAGCTTAATATATCTGTTAAATTTTTATCAGTTAATTTAATAAAAATTAAAAATTTAAGAGTTAGGACAAAAAATTAAGTATTAAATAATTTTTTAAAAAGTTTAAAGGTCAAAAATATTATTAGACCAATACTTTATTTAAGCATAAATTTGACAACTGCAAATCTGACAAAAAATATTTGGTAAAGAAAAATAAAATTTTGATTTTGACATCTCTCAACCAAAGTAAAATATAGTAATTTTATTTAAAAAAACAACAGCTAAGACAATTTTAGAATTCATGTGTATTTAATATATAACCTTGTCTTTTTTTATAAAAAAAATATAATCTCATACGATAATGACAACCTTAATTTATATCTATACTTTGATTTGTTTATACTCGATGAATTTAATAATATTTAATTGAAGGAGTTGTTCTCCACATCACGTATCAAATTTAGCAGTTCTCAAAACTTATCGACATGAGTATTCAATGTCCATATTTATAGTCTCAAGGGATACGTAATTAAGAAATTAGGTAAAATCTTATTTAAGTAGGGTAAGTACAAGTATGACTTGTGTTTGGTAGATTTGATAACATAAATTATAGTAATGCATCCACATTAACTAAAATTGTACAATAAGAAATGAAAATAACATTTTAGATAATTTCAAACTTTAAGAAACAAGATATTAAAATCAATTATTTTTTTATATTTCGAAGAGTTCACTCATTATTAATGTTATTTATAATGTTAATGAAGAAGTTGGTGGAGAAGGTTTAAATACATGTAAAGACCAAATATAACTTTCATATAAGAAATTTAATGCTTTAGGTCTATGAGATGTAGAAGATGACGAGGAAGCTACACTAATAGATTCACAGCTAGGTTTTTGAAAGTGGGCACATTCAATTTTCTTCGGTTAATTATTTATTTTATTGATAGTGTCAATCTCAAAATTTTATTTATGTTTGCTTGTTCGTAATTTTATGTTGTTAACTTACATTTTCTTATCTTAAAAAATATTTTTGAATCCGTCATCGAAAAGAAATACGAAAGAGAAAGCAGTTGGTAAAGTTTAAAAAATATAGAACATGTATTCCATAGTGAGAAGTGAAATATCTTTACATTAGTTTATAAGGATCTCTCCATTATTTTTCTTTGTTGAATGTGAACTGACAAAACCCTCATATGCACTCAGTTGTAACAAAATTGATAACATTTATTATCGTTCCGCTCTTTTTACATGGATCAAACATCATTTATATAAATAAGATTTTTCAATTTAAAATCATTTATATAAATAATATTTCTCAACTTTATTATAACATTTTTAACATGTCATAATTTTACAGATATTATTATATCAAAATTTGAATCAAACACAACCAGTTGGATTAAACATAATATTCGACATTATTTTCCAATCTACAAATATTGAACACAAAACTTGTTTCAAGCCTTGGAACCCCTCTGGTCAAAAACATCCATGAGTGCTTGAGGATCGGATCCAACAACTTAATCTCTGTCTTTGTATGGATCAACATTAATTGGTTTGATGATGGATTTCATGGGGTTAACCTGGCTGGAAATGTGCATAACAAAGACCATAAACAGTTTTCTTAGCTCAATCAGCAAAGTAAAAAATTGCAAAGAAAAAGTTTCATATTTTGTCTCAATCAGTCAACATTCCAAAAGTTTGCAACTTGCAACATCGATCAAAAGTGAAAGTAGAAAAAACAACCAGACTGTACTCCAAGCAGACAACTTTGATTTTTACTCTGACAACTTGTCAGCAACACGACATGTACATTAATCCGAAATCCTAGTCTTTACTAAACATAAAAGTTCAGTTTCATCGACCCTTTTTTCTCCATGTTTTCCAATTCGCACATTTATCATCCAAATTAAACAGTCTGCGGTGGTTGTTGGTTTTGCTGCGCCGTGAAACACTTAGCACGAGAAACGAGACTTGAGATGGGATCAAAACAGACAGGAAAGATCTGTATTTTGGAGTTGAGCAGTGTGAAAACGACCAAACAAATGGAGACCAATACAGAAAATGCTAAAAGAAGAAGCATTATAATCTGTGGGATGTCGCCTTTGACTTCTTCTGCGTATTCCATCGATGCCAAAGCCAGCACCGATAAGGGAAACGAGTAAGCCCACCACGCCACGCTGAACCTTCTCATAGATCTCTTGAACATTGTCGGTCTGCATACCTGTTTAACCACACAGAATTTTATGTTAGAAGGATGAACTTATAAAATCATTTTCAGAATACAATTAATTAGTAATTACCAGTGACATGAAGAGGAAGAGGGAGAGAAAGAAGAGCAATTTGGATGCGGTATCGAAAGAGCCGGCTATGGATTGCCAAGCCAAGCTAGCCATGCTCGGCGCGGCGAAGAACAAGAAGAAAACCGGCCTCAACATCGACGGAAGCCGATCGGTTCCCGATAGACGTTGGTAGAGCGTGACGAATAGAACCAAATAATGCACCATCCCTAGTGAAAAGAACCCAATGGCACTCTCTTTCCACCCCATATTGGCCGCAGCCTGAGCACCCACCAGGTTCCCTATAACTGATAACAGGCTCGTCGGATTCGCAACGGCGGACAGAAACTTCTTCCCTTTAGTGAACCATTGACCGTAGATTTTCACGTCGAGCACCACGATAGGAAGAACGGAAACAACCCACCATAGAACCACGTAAGAGTAGTGGTTTTCGGGACTGAAAAAAGGTGCCGATTGAAGCAAAAGAAGCCAAGAAATCGATGGAGCGAATAGGTAGTTAACTCCTACATGATGAAAGAACTCTTCTTTCACCATCTTGAAGTGAAACAAGCATCTCAAAAGGTACAGAATCGAGAGCAAAACAAGGGCAAAGAATGAGAAACACCAGAGAACCGTGAAAGCTGTAGGGTGGAACAAATGAAGGGTTTGTCTCAAAGTGTGACTGTCGTCCGTTGGGCCTCTTAGTGTCTTCCATAATAAAGCTTGGCCACCTAAAGATAAGCTTACCCTAAAATAACCAGCATGGAATTTGGTTAAGATGGCCGAGATCAGGCGGCTGCTACATTGAATACTATCGGTCGCAACGCCGCCGCTGTTGGCAGTGGGTGTGTCGACTACGAGCTGAAGCTCAGCGCGAGATGTAACGACGGCCGCCATTGGTAAGACTAAGTGTTATCAAGCTGATCATATAAATTATGTAGGTAAACGGCTCTAGTTTTTATGTGTTACTATGGGTTTGTGCAGATTATGTTTGCTCAGCAATGATGGGGCTTTATAGAACTTTTGCATGTGAAATACACTTTTTTTTTTCTGTAAAAGTTTATTTTGTTGGTATTTTTGGGGATTTTTGCAAATCTAAACCTTTTCTTTTTTGTACTTTAGGGCCTAACACTTTTGAAAACATGAATTAATGTTCAACAGATTTGCTTCGACTTTCTTGGCACGAGCTCGGCAAGTTTTCTTTCTTAATTTTGTATTAATTGCTAAAGACTTGATTTTGACGTATAATCTGGTCAAATATGGTGCTCTTTAGAATGCAACACGGTGAGACGAGACAGATCGCGAGCTACTCGAAATCGACTCGATCAAGGCTCGATAAATACTCGGATCGAATGGACTCGACTCGAGTTCTTAACGAGTCAAAACAAGCTACTCGATATTCGACTCGAAAAGCTCGTGAGCAACTAAAAAAAATGTTATATTATAATTTTAGATTTTTTAAAATTACATTATAAAAAATTTATTAAAAATACATTATATATTTAACAGATTATGTGATAGAAAACATAATCTATAAACCCTGAACCCTGAACTAAACCTGAATCCTATTAAGAAAACATGAATTATGTGATAGAGAACATAATTAGGGTTTAGGGTTTGTTATATTATACTTTTGAAAACATGAATTAATGTTCAACAGATTTGCAACCCAAGTCAAATTGTTATATTGTATATTTTTAAAAGAAAACTAATGTTGAACATTATGTTTAACACTTTTGAAAACATGAATTATGTGATAGAAAATATAATCAGGGTTTAGGGTTTGTTATATTATACTTTTGAAAACATGAATTAATGTTCAACAGATTTGCAACCCAAGTCCAATTGTTACATTGTATATTTCTAAAAGAAAAATAAAAGCTCATTTAATTAAGCACATGTTAGATTACACCCTAAATCCTAAAATATAAATTCTAAACCCTAAATTTAAACCTTAAATCCTAAACTCTAAACCCTTAATCCGATTATGTGATAGGGTACTAAAAGAAAAATAAAAGCAAATTTAATGAAGCACATGTTAGAATATACCCTAAACCCTAAACTATAAAGTATAAACTATAAACCATAAACCATAAACCCTAAATCTCAAACCCTAAACCATACACCCTAAACCATAAGCCCTAAGCCCTAAACCATAAACTCTTAATCTGATTATGTGATAGGGGTTAAGTTATGCACATGAATGTAATATACAAATTATACAAAATGAAATTAATGAAATAAACAACGGCTTATATGTAAATAAACTAATAAATCACACTTGGTCAAATCAATCAATAGGCCCATTATCAAAACAAACGGTGATCAAAACATAAAATAAAAATAAATTAACAACTCAAATCATAAAAATATAAACCTTGATTAATGACGAAATCAGATGATTACAAATATAACAGGTCCTAAAATGCTAATACCCCATTTCTAAAACACGGGCTTGAATATATGTCCACTGTCCATTTTCTTTGGTTTCCTTTTTCTCTCTTCAACTCTCTGTTTTGTGTATCCTCAAGCTTTCTGCAACAAAAAAGTGCATCCTACGAAAATGTAGCCGAGAGTTCAAGACGCTCCAAAAATGGAGTACTTGGGCATCCTACGATTCGGCAAATGGATTTGAGAAGGCATTTGTTCATTTGTTAGAGGGGTTTCAATTCATAGAGTTTACACCTCCCTGCTGTGACCTTCGCCACTTCAATCAAACAAGAAAACAAAACCAAAAGGAAAACTTAGATTAAAGTGCATCGTTTTGGCACTGCATCCATAGGTCTTTCATTTCTCTACAAAGGATAATTACTGATGGAAATCAAATAACTGCAGAGTACAAAATCATAAATCGAAAAAAAGTGGAAGACGGAAGCGATGCTCAGTGAATACGAACCAGGAAAAAATCATCTCACGAATTAGTTATGAAACAAATCGGGCAATCGAATATGATTCGTAACAAATCTGTCAACTCAACATTTTGAGAAAAAGTTTTCGAGGAATCGTATTTGCAAGCTAGCAAGTGTAATAGATTTATGAACTGATTCGTAACTAAAATATGACAAATCCATGAATCTAAAAAAGTAAGAGTTCTATGCCAAGAAGGGGGATCAGAAAAAACAATAATTAAGAAACCAAACAAGACCAGGCGGTTACATTGAACCAGATTACTATCAAAACTACCAAACTTACTAGAAAACTGGAAACCAAAAAAGCTTATTAAAACCAGCGAAACTGGATTTTGTTTATTATCAAGTTTGGAAACCAAAAAGTTTCAGCCTTTTAAACCAAACTTTAGAGCAATTCATTTTCAATCGGTTGAAGTAAGAACTGAAAGAACAATCAGTTCAACCACCAGTTTGGTTTTTTATTCCTCAGGAAGCTTTGTTTTTGAAGCAGATATCAAAGATGAGAGTGAAAAGAAGCTTGGAATTTGGCAGGTGAGTTGGTCATGTGAGTTATATCCCACATCGGTAGTTCCTGGGGAATAAGGGGGTAAAGTGAGTGTATAAAAGGGGATGAGTTTTCAGCAAATGAAAATTAACCCATGGAGCTTGAGTCGAGCTTGAGTCGAGCTTGAATCGAGTTTGAATCAAGCTTGAATCGAGTTTGAATCAAGCTTGAATCGAGTTTAAGTCTTGAGCTTCAATCGAGCTTGAGAATTTTTTTTGAGTTCGAGCTTTTTCGAGTTCGAGTCGAGTTTTAGAAATATATTTCGAGTTTGAGTGGAGTTTGATAATTTTTAACTCACAAGTTTTCGAGTCAAGTTTATCTATATAGTTATCGAGTTCGACTCGAGCTCAGCAATACTTGAGCTCGACTTGGCTCGTTTACACCCCTAACTTTACCGCCTAATCGCATTGATTATAGTCAAAGTAGCTCAACTTATTAATATTACTATAAAGTCTAATTAGTTTGTATTTGATGGAACGATTATATATTTGTTTATATATAAAATAATTGAATAATCTAATATACGTATAAGTAATATATGTTTAAATTTTTTCTTAATTATTTAAAAATATGTATATATCATATAGATACAGCTATTTAAATTCAAAATCTTATGAAAGAGATCATTTGATAGTTTCGTCTATATAAAATTTTTAATAACGTTGTGTATTCATTAATATATATAATTTATATATTGTTCGTGCCTCATATATAAATAGTTTTTGTATCTAGTAATATAGCTATAAACGGCCCACCAGCCCCATTATTTTACTAAAGTTCTCATTCTCTATGGATTTGAATTATGAATAGTGTAGTAATCTAATTTTGTCTGATAACTCAATTCAAATCAAATTGAAGGTAATTTAAAGATTATTCAAATTTAAGTAGCATTATCGTCCATGGTGAAAAGAATAGGTTATAGAATTAGATCTTTGGTGGGAGGGTTGAATATTTAGATGTTTGATTGAGCTATAACCATACATTCAATTAAAGATCCAAATTAAATTCTCTAGATACCAAATAAATCCAAAATTAAAAACCTATTTATTAAACTTTAAACCAAACCATGAAACCCTTAAGACATTTAACCCGATACATCATAACCCAACAAAATACCCAAACCATTAACCCATTTTAAAGCCCAAATTATTACATTTGACCAATTTCACCAAAACTTTACCTGTTTACATTCTTAACCCAAATCCATTTATCCCAAATCCTAAAATTTCATACTACTAATCCACTAAAAAAACAATGGCCCAAACCGTGCAGCCAACGTGACCTAAGTTTAGGGTAAACCCTAACTCCACAAACCAATACAATCGCCACCAGCTCTACCTCCTCACTCAGGAGCCGCCTCCAACCCACGATGGAACCTCCACGTCAACACCAGATTGTGTAACCGATTCGTTCTACCAATAACTGATTGGCACCACTGGCAAGTCCATAAACTTCTCCAAGAGCCTCATCAACAATTCATGCATAAGAAAAACAATTGGGGGATGAGCTGTGAATATTTTTATTTTTTGGTATTAGTGGATTGTAACAAATGGGTTATAAAAACCCTAAACAGAGACTATAAAAGGGGCTCCCCTTCGATCTTTACAGAGAAGCAATATATCTTTTCCCCCATCATTTTTTCAGCGAAGAGCAATAACAAAGAAAAAAACATTTTTTTCGATTTCCCATTTTATTCCATTTAACAATCGAAACAAGCAATAAGAAACCTTTCAGCAAGATTCTCCATTAAAAATTCAAAGCATACTCGAACGAACAAAAAAGATAGAGGAAAAAAACTTTACCTTTTGACTGAAACCTCCCACCGATCTTGGGGACCTCCTTTGGTTAATTTGAACGGCGAGAAGGCAAATCGTACCCGTGGGAGAAACATATCTCAAAATCGACTCGATCTGACGGTTGAAGGAGGAGATCAGCGAAGTGGAAGTCAGAGGATTCTCAGCTTATTTTGAAGAGTTGTGGGCTGATTCTCGCGAAACCGAGTCCAAATTGGAATTCCCTATGTCAAAATGAGTCGTCAATGTATTTTGGGCTTTAACGGCGAAGTGGTCGACAACAACGACAAGGTGGCCGACGGTGGTACTCTCCACCAAATTCTGGTAATTTTAGAGAGAGGAGAGAGAGTTATAAAAGAGGTGAGAGAGAAGAGAGGTTGAGAAAAAAAGAAAATGATTTATAGCCAGACCGGACGGCGTCGTTTTTCCCCATGTTCATGCGTTTCGAACTCTAGTGGCCATCACAAGTTTCTCCGATTTTACTCTAGTCCCTAATTTCATTTTATTTTATTTTAAAATTGATGTCCTCATCCTGATATTTTTTCATTATTTTTTAATACTAACATTTGAGTTTATTTTCTTTCAGGTCCTCCGATAACCGATAACTCTTTTTCAAACCATCCTTGACATCTATGCCTCATACTCAGACACCGATATTCACACTTGAACCAAGTCGAGAAACTCATTCTTCATTGCATCCGTATATTGCGTTCCCATA